GAATCTGTTGGAAATTTTCTCCCATTTGCGCGGTAGCGACATCAGAATTGTGTGACCGTGCACATGCACAGCTTTGAGGAAACATTGGCTGGCAGCTTTAGAGGGGACCTGAGGTCAGAGGTCACCTGTGACTCAAGGCTTGAGGAATTCAGTCTCAAGGAAATGAATAGCATGGGGGGAAAAAAATAAGAGACAAAAATTGTAACGGCTACAGGAAATGATAGCTCATTAGAATGTTGTCAGATGGTGACTGAGAATTATTAACTGTTTTATAGAGGGACGAGAAGTAAAGGGAAGCTGGAACCTGTTTACCTCCAAAAAATCCCCATGTTGTTCGCTGGGGAACACAGAGCCATGAATGTTTTCACCTTCCTGCATGCTGATCCCATGGTTCTTCTTGCATGATGTTGCTTCTGGGTAAGGTTTAGTCACCTCTCCAAAGATCACAGTTTGTAAAACACAAGTGTTGACAGGTAATTCAGTTAATGGTGTTACAAGGCCTCATTCTGTTCTTCGCATCCATTATACTGGTTCAACTCACACTCAAAAATGCTGCTTCCTCCATTTATTTGGTTAAAAGGAGTGAATGCAACACAAATTGTAAAGTTAATTTCAATACATTTTATAAAATTACTTAATCCGTTTGCAACAGGACCAAGTGGATCATTTTTATGCACTCAGGCAGGGGATTTCCAGTTCCCAGCATGCTTTGCATGGAACCGAATGGGAAGATTAAATGTTAGAATGAAGTGTTTAGCCTATTTTATGCATTTTTGAGCAAGATAAGGAAAGGAGGGAAACTTAGTTTGTGTTTAATGTTCCATTATGTTGGGATTTAAAGGAGTTTTTATTACAGTATGTTGCCGGTTTAGGGGTTACCTTGTGTTTAGATTGAATACATGCTATTGTAAGTTAGTTTGATGTATTTACAGCGTAGTTTATTAAGAAAACCCATTTCCTGCTGTCCACATTTGAATTAATATTAGCCAAAGTATTGTTGTTTTGAGTGTACTCGCACAGTCTTTCTCTCCACCGCCATGCCTCACTCCTCATCCATAGCATCTATTGCTCTTTTTGTCTCTTAATTTTTCTCGACGGATCTTGTTGACGTTAGCAAAGACTTCAAGCACGCTGAGTCAGAAGCTTGCGCGGTCAAACAGGCCTTGAGCCGAGGTAGCCTGCTCTGTCATTATCTAGATTTCATATCATCGATGACCAGCATCTTTATCATCCTGTGCTTGAGGATCATCATCCTTCCCTGCATGTGTTTGAATCATCTCCCATTTCCTGTTGCTGATGTCACTCAGCAGGGAGATGGACAGACACATAGGAGCCAGCATACTAATGAAATGACCTCAGATACCCCTGTCCGCTCACCTGTGCTTTATCGCTGGACGTAACATATCCTCAGCATCACTTAAATATGACTAATCAATACTAATCAATATGGCGAACCTTGATAACTTTGTTAGCTTGCTGCACTCTTCCTAGCTGAGAGTTGAAAAGGGATTGTGGGAAGATTTGGTCTTGATCTGCTGACATGCGCTCATTAGGTGCTTTTGCACAATGTGTATTGGTGTAAATTAAGAGTCTTGTCAGTTTTGAATTTTTTTTTTTAATTGTATTGATTGTAACTGATACAATAAAAAATAGTAAGATACAATATGATATGAAATATAAATAACTTGTGCTTGAATTTAAAATGTATAGAGAGATTAAAAACATGTAGAGTATATATTACTAATTCACTCTAGATTTTTATTTCATTTAATATAATTTTTATATATTGCTATATTCAAATGTTTAATACAAAAAGTAACATATTTTTTAAAAACAAATGTTTTACTTGCTTTTTCCTCATTGCAAAAAAGCCATTACATGATCAGATTTGATAAACAATGACTCATGGCTTTCCTGTAAATCCTGCTTAACTGAAATAACTGATATGACAAAGAAAATCTTTTATTGATTATTGATAACATACAGTTTTTACCAATAGTTAATTACTAAACTGCCATTTCTCTTCCAATATTTTAATGAATGCACATCAGTTGCTTCTATGTTGTGCAATGTTATTTAAGTCTTTTACTTTCATAAGAAAAATCATAAAGGAAATTTCGTATGAAAGATATATGAAAAGTTCGAAATTGAAATTATGATGCAATTACAGCAAAATAAGTCAACACTGTAGAGTGCACAGAACGGTGTTACACACTTTACATTTAATACAAAAATGAAGGGAAATTACTTGTATTTACAATATACATAGTATGCACTGTACATTAGAGGTGTGTTTGCAATTGCACATTTAAGCATTTATTTCACAGTTAAATAAAAACATCAAATCACACCTTGATTTAGAGATTTTCTCCTAATTAACACATTTAACAGTGCAAAAATACACTTTTATTAATGTATCTGAAAAATAAATAATTTAGGTTGTCAAGTTGATAATTTGACTTGAAATTTGAATTTACTTTTTTAATCTTCCAAGTGTTACACAGTTGCAGCTGTAACAATATTTTTTTGTTTTACTCATAAACGGGACAGAAGCAACTTTAGCATTAGTTATTTGTCAATTTATTTTTTATAATTACTTGCATGAACAATTAATTACAAATGTTTTTATACAGTTAGTGTATAGTGATGGAAATATCTGTCTGGAAATAGGTTTTGGAGTGACTATTCATTTATATGATTTAAGTTAGCAAGATATGCCGTTTTTAACACATTTCATACAGATTTTTTAAATCAGATTTTATACAGTTTTTTTATTATAATTATTAGAGAACACATGCAACTGAAAAACAAATGCATTCCATCTCTCTGCAGCATTTAAATGTCGTAACATCTCAAAATGGATTTTCCTTCCTACTCAGATATGCACAATAATTCTGGTTCTGACTCTATATGTTGTTTTTCTTCTGATAACCTCATGATATACACTTTCAGCAGAAATAATACATTCCCACCATAAAAGATGTTTTCACTCCAAAACCATGCCAGATATATTTTTGGAAATATTTCAAGTACTCACTTTTATTGCCCCTCATTGTACAAATCGCATGGGTTCCACCGTGAACAAAATATGCTCTTTGCAAGCATTTTCCAAGACATATCACAACACATTTTGTCATCTAAAAATGTAAATATGACCAGATCATGCAATGTTGACAGTGAATATATATTTCTTAGTCCAGCATGTTTTTCCAAAGAGATCCCTGCCCCAGAACGTTCCAGAAGTGCAAATCCTTGTTTTATGGACATGGAGATAGTGCTCATGGTTTAGTAGCATGCTTCTGACGGTTGGTAGGAGTGTAATGTGTGACTCGAACAGGCACTGACTCACCATGGCTCATCGGACAAGGCTCGATTGGAGCCCGCCAATTTCTCAAACACAAAGACACAAGTTTTTGATCTCACTCTTTGTTCTAGCACCGCAGCGTTTCACTATAAGCTGTACTGCAAAACCCCGCTGACAGAAAAAAAACAACTAATGATGGTTTAGATCTGAAATTAGGCTTCAGATGTGCTAATGCTAGCTCCTCTGAGTTTTTACAGTTGGTTGGATTTTGGTATGTTCTCCTCTGAGGTGTGTGGGTGTTGGTTTTGATGGTGGATTTTCAGTAACGTCCTAATAAGCCTGCATCATTTTACTTCTCCATTTGCACTTTTTTGGGCTTGATGTGTTTGCGTTTAGTTAACCCACATCACGGGTGGATGATGATAGTGTGTTTGGTTAATGATTTAACAAAATAACCGGTATGAGCTCATCTATACTGTTTATCCGTGAAGTTGCACTTTCAGAAACTCGAGTGGGCAGAGGGGCTTGTTTGCGTCTGTGAAATGAAGAGTTCAAAGAGACCGTTATCGGCCACATGACTGTGTAAAGTGATAAGACAAAAGTCCAAATGTGTCAGAGAGCATCAGGCCATGTAAAAAAAAAAATTTGAATGTCATTTTAATAATAAATGCCTTGAAAAATCTTGCTTTAAGTTTAAGATATAATATATATATATAAAAATAAATATATTATTTTTAATTTATTTCCTCGACTTGTTTGGGAGGGGCCATTTGCCATGCCAGGGCAAATCTCCTTCTCTTTTCCTTTCCATGTGATTGTGTGTGTGTGT